GATTGGTGTGATTCAGACATTTTATATTTTAACTTACCTAAAACAAATTTATTATCATTTAGATGCTCAATCGACGAACTTTTTTTTGAAGACAGATCACTGGAATCTAAAAATAACACTAAATTTCTAGCAGTGTTCATTGATCAAATTTAAAAGTTTTGGATCATGTTAAACAACTCGCTAGAAAAGTCCCCTCTGGCTGTTATGCGGTTAGAGAGATTTATAAAGAATTAGGGTTCAGCACTTCAAAGATGGCGTACTATGCACTCATAGATTCTCACTTACGCTACGGAATACCGTTTTGGAGAGCATGCAGTCCAACTGTATTCAAAAGTCTACTAATTTTACAGAAAAGGGCAATAAGGTAAATAGGAAACCTTAAAACAAGAGACTCCTGTAGAATCTTCTTCAAAAAACATAATATTCTGACGGTAACTGCATTATTTTTACTGGAATCTGTGTGTTTATTAAATAAGCATATATTAAATTTTGCTGCATCCTCTTCCCATTATAACACCCGAAACTGCAGACACACTCTGAAACTCACTGTGCCAACTAAAAACATTACCAGAGACTCCATATTTTACAATGGTGGAAAAATGTACAATCATTTACCTATGGGTATAAGATCTGCCAATATAAATGACTTCTAATTCAGGAAGTTAGTCATACAATTTCTATCTGATAGACCCTATTATACTTTGGATGAATATTTTAACTATAGCTTTATTTAAGGAGCTCTTAAGTTGTTACTTTTTATGTCTACTCTTTTATAAACTTGACTTTTACTCTTTTATATATACATATCTTTTATATCCTCCATTTTAACATAGTTTGAACCCATGCAGCATTTTCATTTTTATTTCATTTGGTATGTATTGCATTTTTTAAGTATTTACTACCCAAGATTTGTATACAATATTATGTCTTATGATAATAATGCATATTATTATAATTATTATAGATTTAAAAGTAGCAGAATATTGGAGAACTCGTACTCGGTAGAGAACATCTGTTTGAAAGTAGTTTTTATACACTATTAGATTTTTTAATAATACATAAGTGATCTTCTCATGCTATTCCCTCTTTTTTATTGTATTGACAATTCATATACATCTGCATATTGTCGTTGTTGATTTTTTTTATCATTATACCATCATACCATCAAATATAAAACACTTCTGGAACTATGTGAACAATAAACGGAAAAATTATGGCTTGCCTGACACAATGTACAGTGGCGATTCGATTTTCAAAAACGGTAATGAAATTTCAAATGCATTTGCACAGCAGTTCCAATCAATTTATAAACCTAATACAAAACAACCATATAATACCAACCTTTGATTACGAGAAAACAATAGAAATGAATAGTTGCTCAATCAATTTGGAAATTATCTTGAATAAATTATCTCAATTGAATCCAGATAAAGGACCAGGACCGGATGGAATACCAGCATTATTGTTGAAAAATTGTAGATTTGCATTGGCTAAACCGCTGTTGTTACTTTTTTCGGCTTCTCTTAGTTTAGGAGATTTTCCCATTGTGTGGAAATCTAGTTACATTACACCAGTTTTCAAGTCCGGAGACAGAGGAAACATAAAAAATTACAGACCTATAAGCATACTGAGTGCAATACCCAAACTACTGGAACACATTATATGCGGCAGCTAGTTTCCCTTTAAGCAAATAGTCATTGATGAGCAGCATGGGTTTTCCCAAGGCATATCAACAAACATCAATTTGCTATTATATTCTCAGCATATCTTGGATTCTCTGGAAAACAAACAGCAAGTGGACGTAATATACACAGATTTTTCCAAAGCATTTGATACGGTCAACCACAGTATCCTATGTGCAAAATTGACGGCAGTTGGTTTCTTTGGAAGTTTGTTAAGTTGGATCTCAAGTTACCTTTGTGACAGAACACAATTCGTGAAAATCAAGGGATTTGTATCTCGAGAAATCTCTGTTAGCTCGGGGGTACCACAAGGAAGCCACCTGGGACCATATTTGTTCAATCTTTTTGTTAATGACATTAAAAAATATATCAATCATTCTGAAATTTTGATGTTTGCTGATGATCTTAAAATATTCAGGACTATTGAATCCAAAGAGGACTGCGAGAAACTTCAAATTGATATTGAATCTTTCATAGATTGGTGTACTGATAACTGCATGGATGTCAATGCAACTAAATGCAAAAGTATGTCTTTCTCTCAATCAAGTAATCACTTCATCACTGAATACACAATTGAAGGTAAACCATTGGAATCTGTAAAATCTATACGTGATCTAGGTATTGTAGTCGATGCCAAAATGGATTTCCATCTCCATTATGAACATATCACTAGTAGAGCGATGAAAATGTTAGGCTTTATATGCAGATTAACAAAGGATCACAAATGTTAACTCCATAAAGGCATTGTACTTTTCATTGGTAAGATCAATTTTGGAATACTGCAGTTGTGTTTGGTCCCCTAAATATGAACTTTACAGTTATAACATAGAGAAAGTTCAGAATAAATTCCTGAAATATATTGCCTTTAAACTGAGCATGCCTCTGATCGATCACTCACTCTCAGATATCCGTTTCAAAACAGATATATCGAAACTCAGTACTCGTAGAATTCATGCATTGAATTCGTGTATACAAATTGGGATTACCCGTAGATAAATAGATAAATAAATAAATAAATAAATTATTAAAGCGATTTTTCTTCATTTCCAGATTTTCTACACAACGCTGGTGTAATCTACCGTGATCTCAAGCCTGAAAATATTCTTCTGGACAAGGAAGGCAATATCCAATTGATCGATTTTGGTCTGTCGAAGTGGTTGTCTTATGGGAGCACAACTAGAACAATCTGCGGAACACTTCGTTACATGGGTATGATCTAGCCCATCATCTTAAAGAAAAGAAATCGATTTAGCAAAAGACACTTTAGTGTTTAAATTTGAACTGTCGAGTGATACATTTTCACCAAAAATTGAATCGCACGATTTTTTATATTATTATCCAGAGCTGTGATTTTATTGTGATATCACGAAGAATAAGTTTCCTGAACTTTTTTTATCTTGTTTAATATTTTTGATGTGTATAACTTTTTTTTAATAAGCAAAAATGAACGCCAAATCTCAAGTTTTCGAATTAGCAGTCGAAAGCCGACAGGCCAACGAGGCTGTATTGAGTTTGTTCCATACAATTCTTTTTCATAGAACCTTAGGTAAATTTTCTTACAGCGCTAACGAGAGTTTCGCTATAGGAACTGTTGGTTATACAGATGTAGATTGTGAAGACATCGACTTAACTTACGTTTGCTGCGATTCTCCGAGCTTGGATAAAGTTCTAAGGAGGGAAGTGAAGTCATTCTCGGAACAACTGCAAAGAAATCAGGCGAATAGAGTAGGTCAGATCAGCTTGGAGTTTTTCCAGAAAAGACCCGGCAGATGGATGTTTCCGGCGGAATGTATACCTTGGGAGGTTTGGACGGTATATCTGGAGTTGATACCGCTGAATACTGTGGAACAGCAGCAAATGTTGAGGGAGAAAGTTGGTGAAGTACTTGCTGAAAAAATTTTTCACATTACAGAAGTTATGAACAGACAAAATGAATATTTGCCAAAAATGCCCAATATGACCGAGGTAGATTTGATTTTTGATACCTCTTACCGGGATGTACAGCCATATTTATTCAATTTGAAACATTCAGTATCTGGCCCGTCCAGCGGCATTACTGTCAAGTCCACTATGAAGAAATTAATTAAAGAATCATTTTTATAATTGGCCGACTAAAAATGGACTGCAGGGTGTTGTTAAAACACAGAGAATTAATGAGTGTTTTCCAAGTGCTAAATTTCCTGTTGGAAAATTTAAATTATCGAATCGTCTTTCAAGTTATTTCCAATGGAGCATAAGGAATAATTAAATCTTATATTTAGTGTAGTTTTTTGCTTAAATAGTCGGTAATTAGTTTTTGTATTGGTACACAGAACTTTTTAATCTGTTATGACACAAGATGAAGTTATAATGATTTCAGATAACATGAAGTTTCACTGGTGTAAACTGGTATCATATATTCAAGTGTTTTATTTTTTTGCCACAGCGTGTCAAAAATTCAATCGTTAAGCCCAGATCAACGAGCCCGATAAACAATTTTCATTTTTGTTTTTCATAAAATCATAACTTCTAAAAATTTGCGAGAAAATTTTTTTCAGAAAATGAGTAATAGTAATTCCAATGCTAGGAATCGCAAGGTGAAAAGTGAAATTTCGTAAGAAATAATCTATCCGAAACAACTACATACTTTTAAATATATGAACATTGAATTACAGAAACCACTTTTCCTATTCAGTTTTATACGCCAACAGTAACAGCTAATATGAACAGAAACTGTAGACAAACAGAAACTGTAGATATATGAAAGAGCACTGGCATAAAATTTCACTGTTTCAACGAACTCCCAACCTCCAGGTGTACTTCGAAATTTCACGTGAAACTCAACTTCAACTCTTCATTAGCACCTTTTTTTATAACTTTTAAAGACCAAGTACCCAATCTTTGTAAAAATTCATGTCACGTGAAGAAACTCTCACTTGACACACTGATAGTCAGTAAAGAACATTCACACAGTTAGTTAGGCTGGGATTGAATTGACTAACCATATGAATGAATACTAACCATATGAATTTTCACTTCAATGTTGTTATATGAGCGCTTACAAAAGTTCTTTATTTATCTCTACTTTGAGGTTTTACATCTGTAGATACTTTTAGACAATGAAAGTTTGCCCCTTCAACATTTCAAAAGAAATATTTTGAACTACATTCAGACAAATTGTATGTAACTTGTCAATACTATCGATAATTATGAAACAACTCCGCTTTGGTTATACAATTTTATTGCTTTTGTACAATTTTTAATGTTAGATTGGATTTTGGACGATATTCGATGGGCTTAAAAACTCGGCAAGTTTGATTTTTTGTTCCGATCCAACTGGTTGAAATTATACTTATTGGAGTTCAAGAAAAATGGTTCAATTTGTTTGTTCATTTAATATGTTTCAAGAGCACCTGACAATGTACAATATTTTTCAAGTTACCAGTATATTTTCTCATGAATCCTGCAATCTTTCTGCCAACGTCTAAAGTGAACAAATAGTTTTAACATTTTGACATCAATAATATGACTCCAGCTGTTTGAACAATTTAAGATTGCACAGACCTATAATAGTTTGAGAATAGTTGAAATCAGACTCTAAAGAAATCTCCTCAAATACTTTTGATGGGCTGAACTGAAATCTGACTTCAGAATTGTTCCACTACTTCAGGATTGAGCGAAAAGAACACAAGATTTTTTGTTGTATTCAAGTAATTTTTTCACATGAAACTCTGTAAAGCATTCCAAAATTTGACTTTCTCCTTGCCATTTTTGAAGTTTTCCTGTTTTTTTTGGAGGTAATATGGTCAATTGAAATTCGGTAGATTGTCATTTTCTTTCATTGCGATATTCATAAAATCTTGAATGGATCAATCCCCAAAACCCTAAACCTCATCATAGAATCTTGACCCCCAAACTTCATGACGTGAAAACTCAAAATTCATTATGTCAACAAATGTTTGACGAGATCTTTCAATTGACAAAACTTTTTTGTTAATAAGCTGATTGTAATAAATGAAACACTAAATAATGAGCCATTTTTGAGATTTCAAACACACATACAAAAATTCTATTGCGTTAATGCCAAGACCCCCGATAATATAAGACAAACCGGAAGAACTTTTTTCAAAAGAATGAGAGACCATATAAGTAGTTTTTTGAATGGAAATTCCAACTTGACAATTGCAAACCATCTTTGACAGAGGGGCAGGATTATGACGTATTATGGGAAAGTATAGTCAGGTTTCTGGTTCCTGAAATTTGTTGACCTGTGATGGAATCCACCAAAATATATTAAATTGAAAACACCTACAGAGGTCCTTCAGATATCGTAAAAAAAATGAATGAAAAATCAGTATAGGTTCTATTTGAGCTAGAGCATCTGCAAACAAAGGAATGTTATCGCTTATCCAACAGTTAGAACTGATTGTCTAGAAGTTACTAGTTAGGATGACTCTGTATTTAAAAAAAAAGTAAATACGAAAACACTCATTCATTTCCTGTACCCTTTACGTCCTATCAGTGTTCTTTTTGTGGATCGTCAATTACAGATATTAAGTCCACTTGTTTTTTCTCAGGTAGCGTTTCAAAGAACGATAATTTATGAGTTTAGTTGATTGAAGGATGATCATTACTTTTGTGTGATTTGGAATACTGTATTATAAAAAATATAGCGGCATTGAAATTTTGTCTACTTATTCGAAGAAGTAGTTTCTCCAAAAGAGATTGCTTTGATTATTTGTTTGTGAAAAACTGTCATTGTGTTGACGTGTTCTATTCCAAAGTACTTCATAGTAATGGGTTATCACCAAGGTGTATATAGTAGTTATAGAGGTTTACTTTGAAAAAATAAATTTGTAGTTTTTGATACAGGACCATATAAAGATGAGCTGAGAAAGAATTTTGTTTTAAATTTTAATTTCTCTTCGAACTCATGAATCATAATTTAAACTTGGAGTGAAAAGAAAGACTAGTCGTTACTTCGGTGTTTTGACATCTTTTCTCTCTATTTTTTGTTCGGTTTATTTTTCAGAAAACAGGATTGTTTCTTTGGCTTAATTTGGTTTTTAACAGCAGAATATAAAAAAAAATGAATATCAAATGGTACACTTGTAATGATATTGGGCAAGACAATCAATAATGGAAAGATTCATTTGATTAGTATGGCCTGATGGATAGTCCACTTGATCTTTGGAGATTTGCGGTATTGACCCACATTTGGGTTTTTTTATTTGGTTGCAAATGTATTCTTGAATGACATAGGGAGATAGTGTGAAGCTTTTACGGTCATGTTCCATGATATTGTCTTTTCTTGGGATTGTCGACAGTCCTTTATGCCGGGAAAGAATGTTGGGAAACAAACCAGAGAAATGACAATAAATAGTGATAAGTAAGTTTGAATATTTTTTCTAATTTGGTTGTATTTTTTTTTAAATAGACGTTTAATTCGAAAACTTGAATTTTTAATATAAACACATACACTAAACCAGTTGTATAGTATAAATAATTCTATCATATTTACACAAAATTGATTCCCCCATTATGGTGCACTAGTTTTTTTTAATCTTTACTATCACACTCATGTTCAGCCAATGTAATCATTTAATTCACTTTATCGTTTTGAAATTTTTCTGTTGTGAATCCCTGACTGGATATATTTCTGCCATGATAACAAAATAAAGTGTTCAGTTTGTATTAGAAATATAAAAAATGTGCCTTATATATCCTTTTGGGGAATTCATTATTACTAATATGCTAGTAGTTTTGAGGAAAAAATGTTTTTGGTCGTGATATATAATTAGATTAGAAAAAATAGATAAGTGTAATCGTCTTTTTGTGGCATGATACTAGAGGGTTATACAAAGGCTAATGAAAGATACAACTACCCAAAATGTATTCACTTGAAAAATATATTTCAAGGAGTAGGTGAGCTTCAATTTTTTCTGATATACTGAAACCCATGCATTATTTTCCAGACCCAATGGCAGGCAGTAAAAGTTCACCAATTTCAAATAGTTTAAATAAATTATATTTTATATACATAAAATATGTGAGGTTTAGCAAGACAGCTAAAATATGCAAGGTCTGGCAAGACGGCTACAGTATTGACAGGTTGTAGAAAATGTTTTAGAGTTCGTAAGTTTCTGCAAGAAAGTAGGGTTTGAACTTTGCAACTTTTTCAGGAAAGTTTGAGGTAGAATATTATTTTTCTTAGTGAGAATACGAATACAAAAAATAAGTTTGTATATTGTTCAAGTACCCTATATGTTTGGGTGCTAATAGTTTCATTTTGTTTTTTTTATAGTAGAATGTGAATATAAATTGCAATTTTAACACTTGTTGCACTGTGTATAATATATTGGAAAAAGCTAATATTGACAGTCGTCTACTGTCAAATGTATATAATTAATATTTAAGGCAAGGACAGGTTTGGGAGAAAATGAAGATGATGAATACTTTCTTATTCAAGATTTTCTTATGTTTTGAAATACTGGTAATGATAAGAAATCTTTGTAAATATATGTAAATAGCTACATGTTGTGATCATAATAGAATAAAAATAATTTATTTTGTTCAGTTTTTCAGTTCAAAAATTTATTCTTTATAATTTTAGTCATATATGATGAGTAGTTGCTGTCAAGGATTGAATTTTTGGTGAAAATTGTAGTAACGTTCACATGTACATAACGAAGAATTTTTTGCTAAATCGACAGAATTCAGAAGTATTTCCGAATTCACAAAATTTATTGTATCAGAGTATTATCTTGAATGATAATTTCATCACGGAAAAATTAATTGAAGTCATAATTATCCTTGCAATTTTCACTGAACTTCATTTTGATTCAATAGTTCTAAGAATTGACAGCATTGTAAATTTACTAATTGAATAATCTTGTGGGCTTGAAGTTTAAAAGTCGGTGACATAGGAACGTTACTGAATGGAAATACAGTGCATTTCTTTAATGCCCCTCCCCCCCTTTTATTTTTTGAACGGGTCAACTCAAAAAATTGAAATTTGGGGTAATGAAATTAATGCATGAATACTTTATTTTGAAGTGAAATTGACAGATGAAACTTTCAAGATGGCGACTGGGCGCTATCTGGGAAAAAAAATTAAATGGAAAGGGGGGTCTTGTGACACATATTTTTGAAGATCCTGACAAATGCTTCACGACCCTAGAATATAATGTCAATATCTTCAACTACTACAAAATGGCGGAACTTTTAATAATTGCCTGAATACATTGACATTTAACTACATAATATGAGGTAATAGGCTTGAGGTCAGTTCAGAAGATGTTCGAAATGGTTGCCTTGAACTTCTTGACATATGAACAGCCTATCCGATATTTCACGCCGAATATTTTCGAACACAGTAACGTCAATATCCCTACAAATATTTATTATTCGCCATATATCCAATATTGAAGCAGGTTCAGTTTCGTACACCACTTGTTTCAAATAGCCCCATAAAAAAAGTCCAAAGGTGTCAAATCTGGCGAGCAGGCTGGCCATTCTGTAGGACCTCGACGGCCAATCCAACGACCGAGAAAAGTAGTATCCAGATAGTTTCTTACTTGTCTGGAGTAATGTGGTGGTGCTCCATCTTGTTAGAATACAATATCCATATCGAATTCATTAGGATTCGCTTCGACGATTTCAGTCGAGAGGGTCAACAGTAGTTTCCAGCATATTCAAATCCAGTTCCTCTAGAGGATCCTAGAGGATCTACATTATGGTTTCCCAATACTCCTGCCCAAACGTTAATTTTTCTGGATATTGGGTATGTGTTTCCCGGAAAACGTGAGGGTTGGTGTCACTCCAATAACGGCAATTTTCTCTGTGAACATTGCCGTTTAAATAAAATGATTTCGCAGAATTCTGTTCTTCGATCAGAGTCATCTTCAGTTAATTGGTGTCTCCACACTGTAGAAAGAGACACCTCACAAACATTCGCGACGGTAGAAGTAGACTGTTCAGGATTTACTATCATCTCACCAATTTTTTGCACTTGCTGTTCTTCCAGAATGGACGAATGACCTGGGGGCTTTTTGTTTAAACTCCTAGACTGGTCGTCGACTAATTAATACTTCAAGTCCAATATCTTACCGGTCAATGTACTTTCACAAAATATACAATACGATTCATATCCCTTAATAAAAATTACATAACCCATGGTAATGTTCTGACCATTTTTAGTGTCCGTAAGAGTACTGTCAAGTTGATGTAATCTCAGTATTAAATCGAAATTTTTTAACCATATCAAAATGAATGTGACGACTGTTTTGAGGAGAGATACATACCTATTGAGAAACCGAATATTTCTAAATTGAAATTTAAAATATCGACTTGCTTCTCTTAACTTCCTACACAGTAGGATTTGGTAAATGCCTACTGGAAAACAACTACTTCCCTAGCTAATACCATGATGAACATTGAAATATACCCTAAAGACATTTGTGCAAGTTTCCTTGCAAGAGATATTCTTTTTGGAAAGAAACATTTTGGCTTTCTACTTCCCTAAACGAAAGAAGATTTAATCTCCAGCGATTCAAATCCATTGTGAATCGTTACTTTCGCACAGGCACCGCTCTGAGAGCGCCTTGAGGATTTTCCTGTAGTGCTTGTGTTTTGTGTTTGAAAAAATGGAATTGTATTCAAAATAAACTCTATACAAAGATGTGTAGGTCATGCATACTTTCCGATACAAACTGTAAGGAAAAACCCTTTCGAAATAACTACTTTCATATAAACATTGAACTACATGAAAGAAATAATCGAATCTGGATTGCTAAACAATAGAGTATATGAAAGAGGTAAAATTTCACTAACGTGGAACACTTGTCAACCTCAATGGCGGACATCAATGTTTCGGAATATGAGACTTGTTTCATTGCCTCTTCAGCACCATAACACCGATCCCGATAACATTACTATAAAGCACTCCGTTCATAAAATTACGAACTTATGTAAAACTCCAAATGTCAGTCACCCTCTCTCCATAACAACCCACATGTCAAACATTTTAAATGGAACTAATCGTCGAGTAACTCTTGATTTCAACCATCCCTTAGAAAAAATGTCACTGGAGTTAAATCGGGAGATCTGACTGCCCATCCTATCGAACCACCATTTTCAATCCATCAACTCACCGGTACTACTCACTGTGGAGGAGCCCCATCATGCTGAAAAACTACCCTATATCGTAATAGAAGATCTGATTGGATGGCTTTGTTGATGTTTGACATAACTTTATTATTCAGCGAATTGAAATATCCTTCACCATTTAGGTTTGCTTTTGAAAAATATAGTTCTATATTATGGTTTCCCAAACTGCACAAACAATTGGTTTTCGGGGATATTGTGTTGAAACCATTTGTAGGTTTCACTCCTGATGCTTGACGATTCAGTCCAAAACTAACGTGCGCTGAAACCACAGCACTGATGCTTTTGTAATTGACTATTCCTGAACGATCATGTTGTCTGTCATTAACTCGAATGGTTTCCATGAATTTGCGTAACAATTCTAATACAAACTTATGTGTTACATTTCTGCCCAGATGGTTCTTGTCAAAAGCACGAGCAGTTAGAATAATAAGATAATAATGATAATAATAATCAGTCCTTGAGGGTGGTGGAAGAGTACACGCATGCTATCGGTATGAAATTCGGGATAGACAAATGTGCAATGGTCCATCTCAAAAGAGGACGATGCGTGGTCTACGGACAGGATGTGCAGCTCGTAGATGGAAGCATCCTACACCATCTGGATACCGGAGAGACATATACTCACCTCGGGGTGGAACAACGCCACTCACAAGAGGTAACAGCAGTGAAAAACTCTCTCCGCGGCAAGTATCAGCACAAACTTCGACAGATCTGGTAATCGGAACTGTCGAGGAAGAACAAAGTTGCTGCAACAAATATGCTTGCCGTTCCAATCTTTTCCAATCGTTTGGAGTCTATAGGAATCTATAGGAGTTTGCATTTCAAATCGTTCGTTTCACGGTTGTACTTCCCCCGACAACACGGAGGCCGTGGACTTTTGAGTTTGGAGTGTCTACATGACCTAATGGTACTGGTTAGTTTTGGCTTCAACAGTTAAATTCATGAAGGGTTCTAGAATGGATCCCCGTTGTACCCCATCCTCAATATTTCCTTCAGTATTTAGACTTTTTCCAACTTTGACTACTTGCCTTCTCTTATATAAGTATGAGTTTAGTAAGGACACGGATATTCCTCCTATACCATATCTTGAGAGTTTGTCTAGCAAAAGATCATGGTTCAAAAGAAAGAGATCCTCATTTATTTCATTTTATATCAGTTTCTTCGATCACAATATGAGTACAACTCGTGAAAAGAAAACTATTATTTTTTAAGGCATAAAAGAGGTTGATCGGTCAGGTCCCGTAACTATGGAAAATCCCACCCTTTCAGGGTAGGGCATGGGGAGTATCTTCAACCATAACGTGGAGTACCTGATTATTGGAACCAAGAATCATGTGCCCTGAGTGGACGCATTATGAAAAAAATATTACAGCAAACCAGTATCGTTTTGTTTGAATTATTATTCACTAGGAAACCGTCAACCACATTTAAAGGAACGTTAGCTTAGTGAATCTCATTTGTTCTAGCCCCAGAAATATTAGCCACAGAATCTTACGGACACGCAGTTGATTGGTGGAGTTTGGGGGTTATCGCCTGTGTTATGTTAACCAATAAGGTAAGTACAAATTGCATGCATCTAAAACAACAAAAATCAATAATTTTCATTACAGTTGAAAATATCTATTACAATTCATCGCATGTAATAATTCAAGATCATCGTTTTTGATACTGAGAAAATATATTTAGTTCAGTTGTGTCACTATGATGAGAAATGAGAACAACATGTTTCCTAACGGCTTTTCTCAGATTGATATATCAAAA